CATCAGAAGCACAATATTGGAAAGAAGCGTTCAATAGTGAAATAGAATCCATATTGAGCAACCATACATGGGAATTGGTTGACCTTCCTCCAGGTAATAAAACATTGGGCTCTAAATGGATTTTCAAGAAGAAAATGAAAGACGATGGTACTATTGACAAATACAAGGCAAGACTTGTTGTCAAAGGATTTAGACAGCGAGAAGGTCTTGACTATTTTGACACATACTCGCCGGTAACAAGAATTACATCCATTCGGATGCTAATAGCGTTAGCCGCCTTGTATGGTCTTCAAATCCATCAAATGGATGTAAAAACAACCTTCTTAAATGGTGATCTTGAGGAAGAAATTTACATGAACCAACCTGAAGGGTTTGTGGTTTCGGGAAAAGAAAAGAAGGTGTGCAGACTTGTTAAGTCTGTTTATGGACTAAAACAAGCACCCAAACAATGGCATGCGATATTAGACCAAACAATGTTGTCAAATGGTTTTAAGATTAATGAATGTGATAAATATGTTTACATTAAGAACGTTCCAAATCATATAGTCATTGTTTGCTTATATGTTGATGATATGCTAATAATGAGCAAAGACATTGCCGACATTCAAGCTACTAAGCGCATGCTTGCTAGTAAGTTTGATATGAAAGACTTAGGAGTTGCCGATGTAATTCTAGGAATTAAAATCCAGAGGACTCCTCAAGGTCTAGCTTTGTCTCAATCACATTACGTGAAAATGGTACTTGAAAAATTCAAACACTTGGAATTTAGAAGTGCAAGAACTCCAATTGACTTAAATCATCATCTTATAAAGAATAAAGGTGAAAGTACGTCTCAATTGGAGTATGCTCGTGTGTTGGGAAGCTTAATGTACATCATGAACTGTACACGACCTAATATAGCTTGTGCGATAAGTAAACTTAGTCGATTCACAAGTAATCCCAACAAACATCACTGGGTAGCAATGAAACGAGTTCTGGGATATTTGGAATATACCCAAGACTACGCTTTGCACTATAATAAATATCCTGCGGTTATCGAAGGATATAGTGATGCAAATTGGATAACCGGCTCAACAGAAACAAACTCCACAAGTGGATATGTTTTTACTGTTGGTGGAGGAGCAGTATCTTGGAAGTCTTCCAAACAAACGTGCATTGCTCGCTCTACAATGGAATCAGAGTTTATAGCTTTGGATAAAGCCGGTGAAGAAGCTGAATGGCTTCGAAATTTCTTAGAAGACATTCCGTTCTGGCCAAAACCTTTGGCTCCTATTTGCATACATTGCGATAGTGAGGCTGCAATAGGACGGGCAGGGAGCGTTATGTATAACGGAAAGTCTCGTCATATACGACGAAGACATAACACCGTTAGACAACTACTTTCTAGTGGAATTATCACTATTGATTATGTAAGATCAAAGGATAATGTGGCGGATCCGCTTACAAAAGGCTTAACTAGAGAGGGAGTTGAGAAATCATCTAAGGGAATGGGACTATGGCCGAGGATAAGTCAACATGGCGGTAACTCTACCTAGAATTTTGGATGTTCCGAGATCTAGGTTCAAGGAGCTCAAACAAAGTTGTGATTGACCGGTTCAACATTGTCAAAATAAAATCTTTGGTCCATTCTCGTGATGAAGACAATGTTCAATAACAAGGATAGAACGTTACACGTTCTTTAATGATTACCTAAGTTTGATGAGGTATTTATCAAATAGTGTCAATCTAAAGGATTACACGTTTAGGAATCACCTATGTAAGTGTGAAGTGGAAGCCGCTTCAATGAGAATTCTGTAAGGCCAATTCTCTACGCACTTATGAAACCAGGCGGTGTTCATGGCTAAAACGAACACAACAATGAGAACCAAAAGACGGTTAAGGGTTGGTTGTGTGACATATGGTTATCTAGGTATACACTAATGTTCGACGGTTCAAAGATATCAAATCTACCGATTGACCGAGTATATCCGACATATGTTCACTACGGAAAGTTCAAAGGGAAACCTACTTATCCAGATGCAATTAATCCTTACTTGCAAAATCACATAGCTTTCATCTATGATCTTTCTTGATATAGCCATTCCCATTCATGTGGGGGATTGTTGGACTTTAACCATTGGGCTTTAAAGTAGAAGAAGTGTGAATTGGAAATGGAGGGAAATAAAATGGAGGGAAATTGAAAATTTGAAGAAGTGAACTTTTGTCTTGCACAGGACAACCACATTTGTGTGCTTATATATAGAATCACTTCTTAAAGCTCTTAAAAGGAGTTGAAGAGAATGAACCCTCGCGCCGTCGTCGTCGCTCGCTCGGCTCCGCTTCGGCTTTGGATTTGGATTTGGATTTGGATTTGTCAAATGACCGATCGATAAGATTATTTTTGGACAAAATTTATTTAATTATTTAATAATTAATTAAATACCAAATCACTGCTGAAAATACGCCAGAACCCTGCTGAAGGTTCGAGGGCTTCTTTGGCCGCGGTTCTGCTGCGACCGCGGTATAACCGCAGCAGGCTGATTCAGAGAGCCTCTCTGACCGCGGTTCTGCCGCGACCGCGGCAGGCAGCGTATTCTTCTGAAAAGGCACCTTTTCCAGACACCTCTTCTGATAATTGCCTATAAATTCTGAGGCAAGGCTCCATTTTCAACACACGAAAAACACTCCAGAACTTCTTTCTTTCTGAATATACTGCATTCTAATTCGCAATCTCTCTCTCTCAAATTTGTAAGTGTGATTTTGCTCCGTTCTTTAAGTTCGTTGGTATCCTGTAGTTTGTATTGCCACTGTTGCAGGAAGGTTTATTCCGTTTTATCCTGGGAGGATTTAATCCATTACCTTGGCAACGTGTGAGGGGGTTAAAATTCCTTAAGGACACACAAGCAAATTGTGGACTCGGAATATTTCTTAAACTCTTCTGTTTTTCCAGTTTCTTTTATTTTTCTAACAGTTTTTGTGATTTTGTGTTTTAACACAGTAACGCTCACATTATATACCATTAGGTAGGGGTGTCAATGGATATTCGAAAATCGATTAAACCGACCGAATCGTACTGCACCGAACCGATTTTTAGGTTTCTTTTAAGAAAATTGTAGGTTTTTATATAAATCTATAACTGCACCGATAATTAGGGTAGGTTTTTTATTTCATAAAAATAAATCGAAAAAATACAGAACCGTACCGAATAAATTTTACATGTGGAAAATATAATTATATAGTAAGTTTAAAAATATTAATGCATTAAATTTTTCTTTGGGCCTTGGAATTTTGAAAACTGTTACAAATCAACAAGTAATTAAACTCAAAATACTACTTCCTAAAACCTATTATGCTAATTCTACTTAAACTAAGTTATTTCAAGTATCTTAGCAAGACATAAAATATTCTAGCGATTTTGAGTAACAAACTATAATGTATTGAATATGTTTCCTTTCATATAATTTAGATTTATCTTTTTGAATATTTAATTTTCTATAGAATTTATTCTTGAGTCCTAGCTTGGCTAATATCTTTCCACTCGTGTGATTTATATTTTCTTTGGCTTTGCTTTGTTTTTTTTACATTGTTGCAGAATAGTTGATGGATCTATACTCTACCCATCTTTCATTTTTTTAATTCATCACCCTTTAAACAGTAAAAATGTCTAGAGAGTTTTCTTACGTTCTATAAAAGAACATATGTTATTGCATTCTACTTCTACTGGTGACTTCTACATAATATTTAAAAAAATACCGAAAATTAACCGAACCGTACCGATACCGAAAAGAAACCAACATGATTGGGACGGTTCGAAAAGTTTAATTTTGGTTATACATAATAGAATAACCGAAAAAGTGGTATGGTACTAGTTTTATAAAATAACCGGCCGAACCGAACCATTGACACCCCTACCATTAGGGGTGTACAAACGACAAACCGCATCAACCCAATAATTCGAGTTAAACCGAGAAAAAAAAATTGACTATGGTTTGGTTTGATTTGGTTTGGTGTTGGAAAAAAAAAACCCGACCATATTTGGTTTGGTTTGGTTTTAACTAAAAAGAGTCAAATCGAAACCAAACCAACCCGACATTATATGTATAGAAATTTTAAATATATTTAATACATAAAAATATTTATTATAGTGTAGTTTATAAATATTTCTTAAGCTTTTTCATAGATTATCTTTTCGCGTATTATTTCAAGCTTGGAATTATAATTTTTGGATGCTCCAATAAGTTATATAGTTCATAAATGTAAGTAACTCAAATAAATCCTTAACCAATATCAAATCAATACTAATGCTATTAAAAGACATTCAATTCAATTGTACTATGGATGAAATAGTGTTGGATATTTATTGTTTAGTTTTTTCGTGGTTTAGATAATTATAAAATACATAACTTATTTTTCTTTTAGTATTTAGTCATGTAAATAAAGTACTCATTAGTCGTACTTTTTTTAGCAACTTATTAGTAATTTTAAATTATGTTTGTTTTCATTATGGCTTATTAATAATAATTATTTTATGCGATTTTATTATCTTAATTGTTGAATATTTTAGTACAATGCCATGTTTTATCTCATATTTATGTTATTTTATTGAAAAATACCTTATATAGTTCTATCTTACTAGGATTAAAGAAATATTTGGAGCACAAATTCTATATTTTGTGCTATGAAGACTTTATGGAAGAAGAAAAAAGCCCGAAAACCTGAGAATATCGAGATTGAAGAACCCGACTTTTATTGGTTTGGTTGGCCTTTTCTCGATCATTAAATTGCCTCAACCTCAGCTTTAAGCAAACCAAGGTCTCCTCTGTTGGGCTTAAACGGCCCAATGACACTCTTAACATGGTGTGATATTGTCCGCTTTGGGCCAAGCCCGCACGGTTTTCCCCAAAAGGCCTCACATCATTAAGAGATCCCTACACCTTATATGTAGACTCCCAATCTTTTCAGCTACCAATGTGGGACTTTGTTCGCACACCCAACATCCTCGACTCTTCTTTTCTTCCTTTTTAAAGGTCTTGTACGTTCACATGTAAGTACATAATACACGAATTTTTCACTAGATTACATATGCATCACCAGAAAAGTTAAGCACGACTTGTATGCAGAAATTAATTAAACCAAATACATTTTATCCTTCTGTATATACAAAGAAAGAGGAAATTAATTGTTTCGTATTTGAGCTCTTATTCATGTTAATCACACCCAATTAATTAAATAGGACTTATTCATCGTCGAAACACATGCTCTTCACCTGAGCCTCGATCAACATGACTAATCCAACGGTTGGGATTTTTTGTGGAGTACTTCAGATTTCCATCATTGCTTGCTATATAAGCAATCTCTAATCCATTTCCAACTGGAACTGTTACTGCTCTTATTATAACACAGACTTTGGCATCAAGGACCCCTTTCCAGCTGAACTTAGTGCTACTTATATTATTCCCTTTGCTTTCATTTTTACATACTAAAATTGCTCCATGTTGGTTCAGTTTAACACTATTGAAAGCTCTAGTAAAGTCTTTTGTCCAACCATCAACAACAAGAAAATCAACCCTACTCAGCTTTGATCTAATTATCTTCTCCACCTCTCCCACCATGACTTCCGGCAAGGATACGTCGCGTGATAATTTTTGCATGGCACTGACGTATTCTACTCTGGACGCTTCGTCCCTTACGACGCATACGTGCCTTCCATGCGTGTGATTCGCGGCAATGGCTAGACCTGGTGGAAATGCCATAATTAAGTAAATAAAAGTGTACATTCTCTCTAATATTTTAAAGTTTTAAATAAGTGGTCACACAATTTAACATGGTATCAGAGCAGGCAAAGGTCATGGAGTCAAATCTTCCCACTATACCCATAATAACATATAAGCAAATAAATCTAAGCGTATTTTCTAACGGTTTAAGCTTTCACACGATTTATTACCTATGCTCGTGGTGATATTTGCTTCGCCATTTGCATCTTTCTTCCATGTTTCAACTATTAGTTTTGCGTTGTACCCTCCAGCCATGGCTGCCAAAAATTCTGCAGCGCTGGTTTTACTTGATATTTCACACTGCATATGATTGAAATGTCCAGAACAAATTTAAAGGAAAAAGGTTAAAAGGTACGCACGTACGTAGAGACAAATTAATAGAAGTATAAACTGTTATTGCTCACCGTTTGTATGGTGTCAAGATATGCTTTAGAAGCTGTCTCTGGAGACCAAACTAATGTCATCTCTGCTTCTACTTCTTCTCTGACGAGGATTTCCTTTCAGTAATGGTGGATTAAATGTACAAGAAGTGTTTGGTTGCTTTTAAATACAAACTAGAGATAATATTTCAGGGTTTCTGAGAAGCAGTTTTTCTCTTCTTTCTTGAAAACCGTTGGGGTTTTATATCCACAACACCAACCTGCCTTAGTAGCTAGTCAATGAGTTTATCTAATTTCTTGAACTGTCTTTTTCTACCAATAGTTACTTTATACTAAATATTTTAGTGATAAACAACAGATTCTTCCTAAATATCAATCATTCTTTGTTTTTTAACTCTATTTTATAATTTGTGACGACATAATTTGGGTGTTGACATTGAGATATAACACTCAAGTAACAACCTTCATAAACTATGGTGTACTTTTCTGAAGCATTTAGCTAATCAGTTTGTTCTATGCATGAACCTAGCTAATATAAAATGTTTATGCTGATTGACAAAATAACCACTTTTGCATAGATAAGGTTGATTAAAATATTATTTTTTAAATAAGAATTTCAATTGCTTTAGGTGTGTCTAAAAATTTAAACTCTAGCCCTATAACAAATCAGATCAGAACAAGATTGGCATCAAACTTGTAAATAAGGACAAAGGTAAACACAAAAGCTTCAAGTTGATGGTTTACACTTGTATACGGTCAAGATCGTGTGCCTTCGATCTATAGGCTCGAGAGATCGTCCAAAGCCCGAGTTCAGGTGAGATCAAGTTTGAGCTCGAGGGACCAGACCAAAGGTCGAGGACAGAGCACGATGCATACCGAGGCCGAGTATGCTCGACCCCAAAATAGTACCGTTATGGATTTGTAATAGATTGAGCTCGATTCCTGCCACGTCCCTTAGATCATGGCGCAAATCCCGGAATAGGATTGTACAATTCCGTACTAAGCGGTTAGACAGCTGTACCAAGAATATTCCCTACTGTAAATAGAAATATACCTTATTTAGGGTTCCTTATTATATAAAAGGGACCCCAATCATTTGTAACATCATCTCATCATTAGCAAGAATATACTATCCTACTTTTCTCTCTTAATGTTCATCAGAATTGTCCTTTACTGTCCTTTACATTTATTGTTCTTACTTTATTGCTCTTAATTCATCTCGAGGTCACCAAGCTCGAGGTCACTACTGCTGAGTAACATTGGTTTGATCCACTTGTTTCTTTCATTTCTATTCATATTTCTTGAATACTAATTGGTATTGAATTTAATCACATATCTTTAAAACCACAAATCAAATTTTATTGTTACTTGTATTTTTGAGGTAAGCAGTTGGCGCCCACCGTGGGCTAAAGAAAATAGTGATTATTCCTTTACTGATTCTCATTACACACATTAACTTTACACTTTTTCTTGTCAAGAATTTTTGATTCTCAGGCTAAAACATGTCAAGCTCACAAAATCCACATGTTCATGACAACGAAGGTCTTGGTGAAAACAACAATATAGGGTCAGTGTACCACCAATAGACCCTAGGGAAGTGCCAAACATAGAACCAGTTGATGTTAGTTCACACATTGCTCTAAACGCAGATTTAGGCACAGACCCCGAAGGGAGTGTACACAGGGAAGCCCTACCTGGTGGCCAAGGAACACAAGGAGTGGGTGATGGGGGAATCAGCCTCCAAGTGATATTCAAGATGCTGCAAGCTCAACAGATCGCCATTGCTCAACTTCAAAGTCAAAATAAGACTCTGAGTGTAGTTGAACATGAAAACAATCGACGTGTTGAGCCAGCACCAGAAAGGTTAAATGGAAACAACTCGGGGACTGACCCCACCATTATGAGGATGCTCGAAGAGCTCACCAAGAGGATCGAGTCCGGAGAAAAGAAGATTGAAGACAATGACAAAAAGGTGGAAACTTATAATTCCCGTGTTGACCAAATACCGGGGGCACCTCCAGTTTTGAAAGGATTAGATGCCAAAAAGTTCATACAAAAACTTTCCCTCAAAGTGCGGCTCCGATGCCTATTCCTAAGAAGTTTCGCATGCCCGATATACCCAAATATAACAGAACAACCGAACCTAACGAGCATATTACTTCATACACTTGCGGTATCAAAGGAAATGATTTGAATGACGCCGAGATCTAATCGGTCTTGTTGAAAAAGTTCGGAGAAACATTGTCAAAAGGATCCATGATTTGGTATCAAAACTTACCTCCTAACTCTATTGACTCATTTGGAATGTTAGCAGACGTCTTCGTGAAAGCACACGCCAGGGCCATAAAGGTGGCCACGAGAAAATTGTACGTCTTCAAGATAAAACAAAGGAACAACGAGATGTTGAGGGAGTTCGTGTCCAGGTTTCAGATGGAAGGAATAGAATTACCACCGGTCTCCGATGACTGGGCAGTACAGGCCTTTATGTAGGGTTTGAATGAAAGAAGTTCAATTGCGTCTCGACAATTAAAGAAGAACCTGATCGAGTATCCAACTGTGATGTGGTCGGACGTTCACAACCGTTACCAGTCAAAAATCAGGGTCGAGGACGACCAGTTGGGAGCCCCCTCGGGTTTCGTTCATCCTAATAGATTCACAGTCAAGCCACTGAGAGATACAGACAGGGAATCGAGATTGAATAGGGAACGGTATCAGTTGTATGCCGATCGGAGAAACAATGGTTCAGGTCGTAGCGCTCCTCGGAATGATCGGAGAAACGATTAATGGAAAATTTCTCGAGGACTCATGAGTAAGAGCGGGTTCGATAAGCATACTGACCCCGCAGAGGCACCTCGACAGTCGGAGTACAACTTCAGTGTAGATGCATCGGGGATTGTGTCGGCTATTGGAAGAATCAAGCACACCAAATGGCCCAGGCCTATACAAACTGATCGTTCTTAAAGGAACCCGAATTTGATGTGCAAGTATCATGGCACAGATGGTCATTGAACAGAAGACTGCAGACAGCTAAGGGAAGAAGTGGCTCGGTTGTTCAACGAGGGTCACCTTCGAGAATTCTTCAGTGTCGAGCTAAAAACCACTTCAAGGAGAGAGATGCAAGAAAAAGCGAGCAGGAGGAGCCGCAACATGTAATCCACGTGATTGTCGGCGGCATCGATATCCCACAAAGGCCTATGTTCAAATGCACCAAGGTGTCGATCATGCTAGAAAAACAGACTCGGAGCTATATGCCCGAGGACGCCTTATCATTCTGTGACGAGGAAGCAGAAGGCATATCTCAGCCACACAACGACGCCTTGGTAATCTCTATCCTTTTAAATATAATACAAGTTAAACGTGTTTTAGTGGGTCCAGGTAGCTCAGCAAACATAATCAGATAGAGGGTCATGGAACAACTCGGCCTCCAAGATCAGATTGTACTTGCATCCCGAGTCCTCAATGGCTTCAACATGGCGAGCGAAACAACAAAGGGCGAGATTATCTTGCTAGTAAACGTAGCCGGGACCATACAAAATACTAAGTTCCATGTCATTGAATGTGACATGATGTATAACGCGCTCATCGGGAGACCATGGATACACAACATGAGAGCAGTACCTTCAACTCTTTATTAGATGATGAAGTTCCCAACGGAGGATGGAGTAAAAACGGTTTACGGGGAGCAACATCCTGCAAAGGAGATGTTTGCTGTCGAGGAAGTGGTGCCGATACCAGAGCATTTGACCTCGGAGAAATCGAGCACCAAAGGTAAGCAGGCGGCCAACTAGCAATCATCGTCCCCAGCCTCGACGGAACCGGAGCAACAGGTAATCGAGGACGAAGAAGAGGATTTCCTTACTCCTCGAACCTTCATCGCCCCCGAAGAGTATGATGCAACAAAGTCGACAGTCGAGGAGCTGGAACAGGTCATACTGATTGAGTACATGAGTGAGAGAAAGGTATACCTGGGAACGGGATTAACCCTCAAACTCAGGAAAAAACTCATTCACACTACAAGAAAGAAGGTATTTGCCAACAACATTTTTTGTTGCCATAAATCAAATGTTGTTGCTAAAAGTAGTTTTGGCAACAACAAATAAGTTGTTGCACGTCGTGGCAATAAACGCCGATGGAAAAAGTATTCGCAACAACCAACAATAGTATTGCAAAAAAGCTAACTTAACGCAACAAAAATTATTGTTGCCTTAAATTATATTTTATTGGTAAAATTTCATGCAAATGTGGATTATGAGAACATTTAACAACAAAAATTATTGTTGCAAAAAGTGATTATATTTACCAACAATATTTGTTGTGGTAAAAAAATTGGCGGAAAAGTTAGTTATTGATCTATTATTAAGGCTTTTAGCAACAATTGCTATTGTGTTTATGAATTACCTTTTGTCAATAATAATTTCACAAATATATGTATAAAATAATTAATTTTATATATATAAATGCCAATACATAAAATTGATACACTTTCAAAAAATAAATCTCCCAAAATGTATGCTTTTATTTACGTTAAGAACAAAAACATCATATACCAAGGTCATTAAGTTCTAATCTAATTAATCCCTAATCTTTTTCCGACAACTTGTTGCACCGCATGGACCATATTTCCAACAATGATGATTTAAACATATTCATCCTACAAAAGAAGATAAATATAATTACATTTTGATAAAAGAAAATTATAAAGTACAAAACTCGATTAACAAAGAAAAAGAGGGAATAAGATATGCATATTATCCACTTACTAAATATTGCAACTACTTCATCACTGAAAATGTCACATATTACAAAATTATTGAATAGAAACATTCAGCTAAAAGAAAGATGAATATAAGTTGTAAAATTATTAGATCAAGAGAATTACTCCAAATAGAATTGAATAAATTGAGTTGTAAATCTTTCAAAAATTCCACAGCAAAGTTGAATACTTCCCCAAATAAAGTTGTTGCACCAGAACCTACTAAATACTCCCGAAGATATAATATTATAGTCAACCAAATACATACAACAAGTAAATACTCATTTGTGCACACAGCCAAGATATGTACTTTTTCATGAAAGATAAAGTTACTTAACATGACTTGTAGACTTGCCTCATCCTCTTCTTCCAAAATATAGAACTATAAGATCAACAAGTATAAATAGTAGCAAGAATGTGAAGGCCGTAAAACAGAGTAGAGGAAACAAAAGATA